TTTTGAATTATTTGTCCTATAAAATGAGTTTCTCAGCCACTGTGGAGTTCTCCAGCTTGATATAATTTTTTCCTGATGTCAGGGGAAGGCTTCAACCCAATGTGAAAACATTCAAATAATAACGAGCAAATATTTGTATCCTTGTTAGGTCAGGAGTTGAATAAAATCTAGTTGCCATACTTCGAAGGGACCATTTGGTAGTGGGAAGTGGCCCAGGATTGTACCGTGGGCACATTCTGCAGTTGATAGGCCTGGTGGGCAATGGAAGGAGAAGGACCCCAATAATATTATTTTCCCTCCCTGGACTATTTAATTGGTGTTTCAGTGGGTTAGGTCATGGTAACTTTTCTTTTTGGAGGCTGTTAGAAAGAATGGGGAGGTGATTGAGACCCACCCAGAGGCACCGTGAAAAGTCAAAAAACATCCTCATTTAACCTGTTTGTTTACCCCTTTCATTCTCCAGAGATAGCCTGGGCTTTAACCAGCATTCACTGTAATTAGGGAATGAGAGGAAAGGCAGAAAATGGTGAGGTTTTTGTTAATAGAAAAGATGATATATCTTGAGAAGTGGCCAACTTGGCAGTAATATTGGATGTCTTGTTTCTTATTCTTTTTTATTTTGGGCAGAGGAATGTCCTTGAACTTTAATAATGGCTAAAGCCCTTGGAGTTTGAATGGTGTCCAAGAGCACCAAGATGTAGTCTTTGCTTTTTACATTCTGTCCAGATGAGTTAAGAAAGCCACTTTGTTTCCAGAGCATGCCAAAATCATGAGCTGCTCTGAAAGCACACATGCTCTCTATATAAATATCAATTGTTTTACCTTTGGCTAAAAGGCATGCCCTAGTAAAAACACATAGTGCTGCTTGTTGGGTGGATTTGGCATCAGGAAGGGGGCCAGACTCTATAACCTCATGAAGGGAGACAATAGCATATCCTGCTTGAGAATTACCATTGGGCCTCCTTAAATTTGACCCACCAATAAGCCAATTGTAATCTATATTGGGTAGGGGAGTGTCTTGGAGATCTAGTCAAGGGGTAAGAATTTGATCTTTCAAGGTAATACAGTCATGGGGAATGTCATCATCTGAGAGGGAACAAAGTAGCAGGATAGTAAAGTGGGTCAAAAATAAAAAGAACACTTCGTGGTTCCTAGACGGCTGGCAGAGAGGCACTGAGTGTGAGAGTGTGACGGGAATCGAGGAGAGCCCAGGCAGAGTGAGACCCATAGACAGTGAGAGGAGGCCCCATAACTATTTTTTTTCTATAGCCTTTAGAGGGTTAGAAACAGCAGCAACTGCTTTGAGGAGAGGGGAAGTCCACGAGCAACTGGATCTAATTGTTGACTGTGATATCCTGTGGGTCTATTCTGTCCCCCATGGAATTAAGTAAGAATACCCAAAGCATTACCTCATGTTTACAGGTGAACAAATGGGAAGGGGGTTATAGTTAGAATGCCCTAAGGTTGAGGCTAAGGTAAGCTGGGTCTTTATGTCCTTGGAATACTGTTGGGTATCAGTGGTCTATTGAATGGGATCAGGAAAGGAATTTTTGAGTAAATTATAAAGCAGCTGGGACATCAAGGAAAAGTTGGGAAGCCAATTTTAGCAATAGCCTGCAAGTCCCAGGAACCTTCAAAGCTGGTTTTTTGGTTTTTATTGTGTGTGAGGCAGGTAGATGACTAATACACCATGTAGGCATGAGGGGTTAAAATTTAGTCCCCCTGAGGTTAGGAGGTGTCCCAGGAATTTGACAGAGATTTGACAAAACTGTAATTTTCCCGTGGAGAATGTGTGTCCTATGACTGCTATATTGTGGAGTTGGTGGAGGCTGTCAGTGAGGCAATCCTCTGGGCAAAGTGAACATAACAGTAAATAATCGATGTTTGGGGCAGAGTGGACCCACATTGAAAGGAGATGGTGGCCAAATCAGCCTTAAGGATTTGCAATAAGTAGGTTGGGTTGTCCTTGGAAAGGACAGTCCAGGTATATTTCTGGCCTTTCCAAGTGAAGGCAAAAAGAGATCAGCTGTCCGGATCTGCAAGTATACTGAAGAAGGTGCTGCAAAGATTGATAGCTGAGAAATATTGAAAAGTAGGGATTATAGTTATTATAGGGATAGAACATTGGAAAGTAGGGTGTGAGGGTCGAGGACCACTGGGTGTCAGGAGTTGACTGTGTTATTGACAGCCCTAAGTTCCTGAACAAATCGCCATCCTCTTCTGTTGGGTGTGCAAATGGGTAGGATGGGCATATTGCAAGGACTGGAGCAAGGACGACAAGATTTTTATGTATCAAGTTATCCATTATGGGTTGTATGAGGTTGTGTGCCAGTTAGGGCTGTAGCGTTTAGGGGATATTGTCTAATATTGGGGAGGGGTTTATTACGGTCTATCTGGATTTTAATTGGAGGTGCTAAATGGATATGACCAACATCAGCATTGGATTGTGTCCAAGGTTCTCAGGTAGTTCTTGGAGAGCAGGCCAGGTAGCGCTGGTGAGGCTAACTGAATAGGTGGAATTTGGGTAAGAACTGTTTTTGCAGCAGAGTCTCTCGTTAGGACAATTCAAGCATTATTTTCCCCATCTACAGAAGGAAATTTGGGCCTGGTAGGGTTCAACGATGTCTCTTCCTGGGAGATATATAGGAGCCCACAGGATGAGTAAGAGGCAAGGATTGCCAGTGAGGGTTCCCACTTGAAAAGAGAAGGAAAAGATTTAGGAACTGTCATAGGCTGGGTGAATAACAATAACCATCTGGGTGAATTCAGAACTCCAGGAAGGGGACATTGAAAGCATGTCAGGGTTATGGAGGAACAGAGTAGTCCTGTTGTCAACCAGAGCTCTGACTATTTGTCCCCTATTTTAATATCTAATTCCCCTAGTTGGTTGGTTTTAACTAGGGGAAATGTCCCTTGAATGTCCTCAGAGCACCCCTAGTTCTGTTGAGAAGGAGGGCTGGGGGTTTTATCAGGATTTAGTTATAGCCATTGTTTATAGTTAAGGCAGTCCCTTTTGAAATGTCCAGTGTTGCTTCAGAAGCAGGTCTTTTGATTTTGGAAAGTGGGCATATTTGGGGAAATCTCTTTTTAATTGTTGTAGCTGAAAGGGCATTGGCAGTCTTTTCTACACAATCTAAGGCTCGGATAGCCCTAGAGACTTTGTCCTTTTCTGAGGTTTTGAATAATTCATTGGCCAGAGAGGCAATTGTGTGGAGTCATTTTGCTGCCCAACTAAGGTTGTGTTGTTTCACTAGGGCAGTGAGGGCCTCAGAAAGACCTACTACAAAAATGAGATTAAATAAATTGGTTGTTTTGTCATTTAAATTTTGATCCTGAATTTTGTTGAAAGTTTGCTCAATTCTATTATAACAGCGAAGGATGGATTTGTCCTTCTTCTGTGTGCAGCTATATGGCTTTCCAATTTACTTGATGGGGATATATGGAGGGAATGGCCGTTAGCAGTTTCATAGCCTGTTTCTGTGCTTTATCAAATCCTGGGGCTCGAGCTAATGTGAAATCTTCAAGATGACTTTCCCATCCAGCAGCTGGCATCCAATCTTGAGTAAAGCATTTCCCACGAACATGTGGGTGAGCTGAAAAAGATCACAGAACCCAGGTTGATAAGCTCTGATGATTAGACTAAAATGTCCTTCAAATTCAAGGGAGTTAGTTTTAGGACTGGGGACGTATTTCAGTGGGGCCAAAAGTTCTGATTTAGCCCAAGGTGCATATGCAATTTGTGGGTTTCCATCTCCTTCTGTCTGGACCTCAAAGGAGGCTATTAAAGAGGGGCTGGAAGAATCAGTTGTGTTGGAGGGAGTGGGGATGTCAGGGGAGTCAGAGAGAGCAGAAGAGGAAGGAGGCAGTGAAGGATAAAGTGGAGGTGACGAGGCTATTAAAGAGGGGCTGGAAGAATCAGTTGTGTTGGAGGGAGTGGGGATGTCAGGGGAGGAGAAAAAGGGGAGTCAGAGAGAGCAGAAGAGGAAGGAGGCAGTGAAGGATAAAGTGGAGGTGACGGAAAAGGTGCAGAGAGCAGACAGGGCAGCAGCTGGGGGTCGGTGGAAGAACGGTCTTCCACAGTCATATTAGCAACTTTGATTTTGGGCTCACAGGTGCGAGGACCGGGGAGTGGGGGTGGGGTGGAAAGAAAGGCATAAAAGTCAATGACCTGAAGATCCACATTAATTACCCATAAAATAAGTGTAAGTTAAACTCAAAGGAAGTAACAGCAAATAATAAGAGTAAAAATCAATGAAATATAATACAAATAATAGAAGGAATTGACAAACCAAAAGTCGGTTCTCTGAAATGATCAATACATTGAATAAAATAAAATCAATAAACCAAATTTCAAATGAAAACAGCAGGAGCACAAAACATCAGTATCAGGAATTAGTGATTGAATAATCTCTATGGTCATTAAAAATAATAATGGGATCTTAACAATAGCTTAATGCCAATAAATTTGAAAACTTGGAGAAATGGACAAATTCCTTGAAAAATACTACTTAGCAAAATAACCACAATATGTAATGATAGTCTGAATTATCCTGTAACTATTTATGAATTAAAATTCTTTATTTGAAAGCTTACAATAACGAAATTGTAGGCCTGATTTATTTCACACATATGCAGACAACTAGTCAAAGTAAATAAGACAGTATATTAATGGATGCAATTTCTGGTTGAGGGATGTGATTATTTTTATTCTAGTAAAAACTTTCCTATACTTTCCCACTATCTGGGACAAAAGTGTTTTATCTTTTAATAAGAGAAAGGAAAAAAGGAGAGTTTTTCAAGTGTGCATTACTTGGCTAACCCCAAAAGGCAAAGAGACTAATACGAATACACACGAATGGTTGAGAGTTTCAGAACTGGGGGAAAGATTCAAGTTCTGTTTAGTTATGGAGGCTGGGGGTGGGGGAAAAGAATGTGAGATTGATCTTGGGATGGGTGAGATCTGGATGCCACTCATGCCTGTCCCTATTTTATCCCCATAGGTCCTAGCTGAGTCAGCCGCCACCACCAGACTTCATAATCAATCAGCTGCCCCACAGCAGTGGAAGCAAGGCTCCTTAAAAGGATTGTGTCCACCAGGTACGTTCCAAGATTGATCTCTATTCTTTATACCACCCTTGTCTCAATGTTCATCTAGTCTTCTGTTTCCTGCAGTTCCTGGTTCTTTTAGTCAACAAATATTTATTGATCCTTTGCCAAATTCAAAGTTATGAAAATTTATCCTCACGTTTCCTGTTAAGTTTTGTCATTTCAGCTTTGCATTTAAGTATTTGATCCATTGTGAGTGAAGTTTTGCATATGGTATCGATAAGGGTTTGCCTTCATTCTTTTGAAGGTGGCTATCCACTTGCAGTTGTCCCAGCATCATTTGTTGAAAAGACTATTCTTTCCCATTGAATGGTCTTGGCACCCTTGTTGAAAATCAGTTGACCCTAAATAGATGGGCTTTTCTTTTTGGACTCTCAATTCTATTCCTTTATCTGTTTGTCCTTTTTCACTGACCAGACTTTTTTTCCCTGTCCCTTTCTTTCTTTATTTTTAGCCACAAAACAAGTCTAAATATATTTTAAAAGACTAAGATCATAGAAAATATGTTCTCTGACCACAGTAACATAAGGAAACTTAGAAATTCACAAATGTGGGGAAATTAAACAATGCTCTTCTAAATAGACAGTGGGTAAAAAGAAAATCACAGGGAAATTAGAGAGTACTTTGAGATAAAAATCAAAGCACAACATATCAAAATGTATAGGATGCAGGGTTCATGCAGAGCTTAGAAGAAAATTTATACTTGTAAACAACTATACTAAAAATAATAAAAATCTCAAATCAGTTATGTAAACTTCTACCTTAAAAAAATAGAGAAAGATGAGCAAACTAAACTAAAAGCAAATGTAAGTAGGAAATAACAAAGATCACAACAGAAATATACGAAATAGGGAATTAAAAAATAATACAGAAAATCAACAAAACCAAAAAGATCTTTAAAAAGATCAACAAAATCTGCAACCCTTTATCTAGAATGACCAAGAAAAAAAGAGAGAAGACCAAAATTACTAAAATCAGAAATAAAGCAGGGGCATTATTACACTGTCATTATGTTTTTTGCAGTGGTAAAATTTAGTTTCTTTCTCTTTCTCATTTGCATTTTTGTTCTACCAGTGGGTTTTGTTCTTTCTTGTGTATTCATGGTAGTGATTGTCGCTTTTCAGATTCCAGATGCAGGACTTCCTCAAAGATTTCTTGTAGGACTGGTCATGTGGTGGTGAACTCCCACAGTTTTTGTTTGTCTGGGAAATACACTATCTTCCCCTCATTTCTAAAGGGTAGCCTTGCTGGGTGGAGTTTTCTTGGCTGGCAGTTTTTTTCTTTTAGTATTTTGAATATATCATCCCATTTTCTTCTGGCCCATACAGTTTCTATTGAAAAATCTGCTATTAGTCTGATAGGGGCTCCCTTATAGGTGACTTGATACTTTTCTCTTGCTTCTTTTAAGATTCTCTCTCTGTCTTTGAGCTTTGCCAGTTTGCACTATAATGTGTTTTGGATAGGATCTTTTTGGGTTGAATCTGTTTGGTGATCTTTGTGCTTCCTAGATCTGAAGGTCTGTGTCTCTCCCTGTAACTGTTAAGTTTTCTGTTATTTTTTTTTTTTTTTTTTCCTTTTTGCCTTTTTTCATGACTGGCAACGGATCGCAACCCTCATTGTCGCGCCCGTACTGGACTGGGACTGGCAACGGGATCGTAACCCTCGGTGTTGCTCCCGCACCTCGCTCAGCCAGTGAGCGGCCGGTCTGTATGTGGGATCCGAACCCTCGGCGGGAGCGCCGCCGCGCTTCCCAAGCGGCGCACTGTAGCAGTGCGCCACTGGGCCAGCCCTAAGTTTTCTGTTATTTTGTTGGATAGGTTTTCCATGCTTTTTCTTTTCCCCTCCCTTTCTGGAACATCCATGATTTGAATGTTCGTGCACTTAAGGTGGTCTGCTAGCTCTCTTGGATTTTCTTCATTTTTTAAAATTTTTTTCCTCTTTTTTTTTTTTTGGTTTTGGCCGCCTGTGTTATTTTGAATAGACTGTGTTCAAGATCAGAAATTCTTTCTTCTGCTTGTTCTAGCCTGCTGCATAAGCTCCCAGTTGTGTTTTTTATTTCATTGAGTGAATCTTTCAGTTCCATGAGTTCTACTACATTCTTTTTTAAGGTATTAATCTCTTTCTAAATTTCTTCCTTCATATCCTGGATTTTTTTTCCTCATTTCATTATGTTGTCTGATTGAATCTTCTAGTATCTCAGTGAGTTTTCTTAAGATTGTTGCTTGGAATTTCTTTTCAGTCATTTCAGGGGTTTCTGGCTGTACAGGGTCTGTTATTTGAGAATCATTATATTCATTTTGTGGTGTCAT